TAATTCAAAAACGAATATCATAGATAAAATGTGTACCAAATGTTTATTTTATATTTTTTTATTATATTTTAGTAATTAAAAATATTATTCATTTTATAGGTACTTGAAAGTGTAGTTTTATAACTTATAATGTTGTTATAACAATAATAATATTGATATTGTTGATTTAATATAATTATTAATTAGTTATTAAATTTGCCTAAAAATAATTATATAATCTGTATCTGTACATGTGTGGCATATAATTAATGACATTTATTTATTTTGGAAATTAAGAAAACTTGAAAACTTAAGGGAGAACCGCATAGTGACGTCACATCGTAGTGAATTTATGTGCTCTTATGGTGTTAAAATTAAATTAGGTTTTAAAGCTATTTTTGTTACGAGTTTTCTGGTAGAGATTTCGAGAATAAAGTTTGTTAAGAGGTTATGAACAAGGTGATTACTTTGTTTTTAAAGGTAGTTTGAAATAAAGTTTTTGGTTTTTCCGGTTATTTTGGTAATGTGAAGAGCTTAACTGTTTGAGATTTATGGAATGAATCGGTTATTAATATGAGAAATTTATTTCGTAGAATTAAATTATTTTGTGTATTTGACTTTTTGGATAAGCCTCATATTTGTATACAAAGCAATAAGTATACAAACATGTTTGAATAGTGGGTACTGGGTTGTATATATTAGGTATTTCAGTTTTAAAGTGGATTTTTGAATATTTACTTATTTAGGATAGACTGGTTTTAAAGTCAACTAAATTCTAGTGTCTTCTAGTTTTGTTAACTGTAGCTTATCAAAAATATATATGATTCAACTAAAACATGAATAAATTATTTAAGTGGAATTAATTTTCTTAACTATTGATATTTTGATTAGGTACAACGTGTTAACATATAACACAAATTGATATTGGTTTTTAGAATACTTAAGAGTATATACAAAGGTTAAATGCTTATTTTTAAAAAAATCTAAGAATCTGGTTGCTATAGAAATAATTTTATTAGAAAACTCGTGTATACTAATAAAATACAAGTTAAATATTAAATGATTTGTTATATAATTCACCTAATATTTGAATTCTAAAATTATTTGTACCTAACCAATATAATAAATTGGATTTGTAACTATTTAAGTCAAGTGTTTTTACAATAATCTGTAAAATCCTGATGTCTAGGTATAAAATTATTATTAAAGTGTAGGTATACTTTAATTAAAATTATTACATACCTTAATGATAATTTATTTTTACGAATTTTAAGTGATTAAATTTGATATATATAATTTAGTTCATAATTATACAAAAAAATCACATTTTATATTAACATAAAAAGTGTAGGTACATAAAATATTTGTTTTTTCCGTTGTAGTAGGTAAACATAATATGTAAACTATAATATTTTGCAGTAAATATTCCTAAACTTTACAAACTATTTTGTCATAATYACTATAATATGATATTATAATATAATAAAATATAATTGTATCATTTTTGAAGTTAGTAAAAGTGTTAATAACGTCTTTCCCAGCCACTTGGATCTACGCCATTATTTTGATGATTAAATCCTTGATTAATTCCGGGTCCTCTGTTTCCTTCTGAAACATATATGGTAAATGTAAATTATAATTTGATGAAAAAGTTTATCGTATTATCGATTTMAAATAATTATAATCATAMATTTTTAATGTATACATTCTGAAAKTAGTTAAATTCTTTAATATTAATTATGATCATTTAAAAATTAAAATCGTGTATTAAAATATTATGARGATACACAAGTAGGTACATATTATTCTTATATCATGTTTATAAATATTAAAGTGTAATAWGTCCAACAAATTGACGCCAATTCCTTAGACCATAACTTTAAGTGAAGTATCAAAAAASTGCTATTGGAATTTTCGTATATTATAGTATGTATACTTTCATGATGATTAGGCAATTTAATTTATTTTGATTTACATTGTTGAGAGACTATTGACATTTTGTGAATTTTGAAGTTAGTATTGTTTAGATACTACTTCTCTTTAGGTATGGCTTAAGATGAAATACCTATCAGTTCTTATATTACCCTTYTACATATGGCGTGACTTTAAAAAGAATTAAATATTAGCATGCTATTTATATTAACTGCAAGTATATTAGGTAAGTACATATGAGTTCTGAATTATGATTTTTGTACTCCATGTAAATAAAAGACATAAAATCAAAATATTAATCATAGCTACCTGTTGTAAATATTTTGAGCTCAGGCTATTTATTTGTTTACATATGTGCAGTGACACCGAACTATACAAAATGCAGTATGGCAAATATCAAATTTTAATARTACCACCCACCTACCAATTTGGTGTACGTGCACCCGTGGGGGGGGGCTGAAACACTACCATCATATGGTATTCATAATTTATATTAATACATAAATACATAATAATATACATAATATCTATTTTCATATTGTGTTATCAATAATTTATGATATAGTTGAATTATAGTTGATTTATATAGCTGATATAGTTCAATATGGCAGTCGCCATATTTGGATTTAGGGATCGGCGCCACTGCATATTTGTTAAAAATCCATTCTCGTCAAGAAGGCTAATATACAACGATATGATTTTGAAAGCTATTTAAGCTCGTCAGTGTTTATTAATGACACATTAATTATTAATATATTTTACTATATGAGTTCAAATAAAAGCTTGGTTTAATCTAAGACATATGAAAAAAATATAAATATAAAAACAATATGACACGTGCAACGGTTAACCGTATTTAAAATGGTCACTCATTATAATAAATTAGTTATGTAGGTATGTTAATGTAATATAATTGTCATGTTAAAAAGTTATTTTGGCTTCACTGAAGTGGTGGACATAATACAAAACAAATAAAAACTTAGTAAAGGTCCGTTATTTCCTAATTTTAAATGTATTTTTAATTTTAAATCAATTACATTTTTAGCAAATTTTACAAATAAATACCAAAAAATAATAAATTTAAAAATAAAACTATTATTCAGTGAAAATCTGAGTCCATTGGTAACTCACGGCCACATAAAATTATTATGGATCCATATTCAAAAAGTTTTAGTTACGAGCTAAATCGAATTATTAAAGATAATATTTTAGAATAAAAAAAAAAAATGTAAAACATTTATCATAAACGATTTTAAAATTAATTATGGTGTATTAGGTATAATACCTAATAATATAAAAAAAGTCGTAAAATAATCAATTTTTTTTTTTTATTACAACCAAATAAATATTTTATGACTTGTTTATATTGTTCATTGTTCATCATATTCACTGTACAGATAAATCATTTATTATATTTATTATATATTAGTTTTACCTTTATTATATTTTAACAGATATTTTTATATATCAATCTATTTTCAATGGTCATAATTTAATAAAATATGTCTTTACTTGTTGGACTACTAAATTAATTCGTGTTCTTAAATTTATTACTTAATAGTTAGATAAAATAATAAGCAATATTATTTACATCATTATTTACAGGTGACAAATTTTTCAGCTAGTATTATAATATAGTATTCATATCAAATACGTTCAGGAATAAGCAGTAAACATACTGTTAAATTAGAAAAAAAAACAGTAATCTCATACATAATATTTAGTATTTGCAGTACTATTATACGAGTATATGTCAAATACGTTTACTTTAAGCTTAAAATATTTCACAAATGTTTCAAGATGGATACATTCCATGAAACATTTGAACGCGACAACTAACATACTTTATACAAATGAAGAAAATCTTGACTGTATTCGTGACTACATCCGTTTACAAATGAACACGTTCACGAAAGAGTTCTTTTCCAAACGCCTTAATTTCCACCCAGTGCTTTTATTAAAATATTTACTATACCAACGCCGCCACGTGATACTAGATGAGTTCTACCGGCATGCCATATTTTGTACACGGAGAGCCTATTCCATCCCCTCACAATCCCATACAACCAGTGAACTCAAAATGTTATGCATTCCAGAATACACAAAGGTGTTTATTATGTAAGCATAACACGCATCGCTTAAAACCAGCAAAGTTTCTATGTCTTGCCATAATYCTATTCGTGTTGAATTCGCAATAATATACAAATTTTTAACGCATAAAGTTTTCGTACATTTTTTTTATTCATTGATTCTATAATATAGGTGCTTTGAGTTTTAGTTTT